TCTTCCCTTCAAAGCTTCCCGGGTTCGTGCCCAGGCTCCCCTGGGTGAGTGCACCCCTTATCCCCGGACCCGTCCTGCCCTTCTATTGTACCCCTTTTACTCCAACTCCATACAACCCCCACCCCCACCCCGTCCCAGGCCGCCCCTCACCCAGCACCCCACACCCCTCTCCGTCCCTATTTCCCAACCACTCCTCCTGCCCCCGGCTCCCCTCCCCTCCCCTCCCTCGCCAGGTTCCTCTTGCCCCTCCAACCGCCCGCTGCCCCCCGGTTCCTTCCTGCCCCTCCAAACACGGTGTCCCCGGCTCAACGCCTCCTCCGGTCCCTCCACCCGACTTCCCTAGCGCCCAGCTCCCTCTCATATAGTCTCTGTTTCCTCCAACCAACCCCCAAATGACGACTCCGTCCCATCCATTCTTTTCATCCTATAACACAGGACGCGAATGCAAAGCACCCACAGACACAGGCGGCCGCCGGCCGCCTCCCCCACCTCGGTCCTCCATCTTTCCCTATTCCCCTTGCTTCCTTTCTTCTCCCCCTCCCTCTCCCCGCCGCCCACCTCCCCCGGAAGAGCCCGGCTCCCCAGGCCCAGGTCTCTCACCTCATTCGGTCACTTCAGTGGTGCCAACCGCTTCATACAGGAAAAAACACAACCGATCCCGTCCCCGTGGGCGCTCCCCCTGCGCGTCCGAGCACTGGCCGGGCACCCTCCCCAGCGGGCACCCCGCGCCTCACACACGCGCAGGCCGAAGTCCTGAGACGAGCGACGGGGGTCGGAGCGAGCGTTCTCACACATACACACACACACACACCGGCCTTAAACACAACCCGCTCCGCTACAGCCCTTCGCCATTTTGGTTTCCCGCGGACCGGCGGTGCATTCTGGGAGCGCGGAGCGACTCCCCGGCCGAATGGCAGCCCGGCGGGGCCGCGCGGGGGCGGGGCCTGCTCGGCGAGCGCGGAAGGACACCGCGCCCTGCGTCCCCAGCCGCCGCCGAACAAAGACGGACTCTTTAATGTCGCGGCGGCCTGAGTCCTTCCGCCGCCGCCGCCGCCGCCGCCGGCGTGAGCACAATAGTGAGCGCCGCGCTCCGGGCCGCCGGCGGCGTCTGGAGGAGAGCGTCGTGTCCCGTGTGCACAGTCTTCTCCGGGTGCCGGGCCCGCTTCCTTTCCGGGGGGGAAAACTTGACGTTTCTTCTGTCTTCACCCTGAAGCCTGCTGCTTGCATTCCCTTTAGCCGGCCGAAGACCCAGGATGTCACAATTTTAAATGTATTCGGCGGTGGTGGATCGGCCCCAAATTCTTTCTAATCGGGAGCTGCTTAGATAAAAGAGTTTTGGACTTTTTCCCTCCACAGACGATGAAAGTTTTTTTTTTTTTTTTTCCTGTTTATCTGCCTTGCCATCGTTCCTCATTGGGATGAAATCTGAGAATAATCCCGTGCAAAGTGGTTTATTTTAGGAATGCAAACTTTTTCATACAAGGGCAGACCTGCCCCATGTACTGCTGCGGGCAGGGGTCCCAAGGGACCAAGTGCAGGCTTGTCTCTCTCTCAGCTTAGAGACAGCCCAGCTCCTCTTGGCAGCCACGCGTGGTCCCTTCGTTTATAAATTTGTCAAAACATTTTGTAAATTGACTTACGCTTTTTGTCTCATATTACATCACAGGGATAATTAATACCATGCTTTTTCTCTCTCTCTGGAAAAATACCTCTTGTGGGCTGAACTTACTTTGCTCATATTTCAAAAGGGATTCCCTCAGCCTCTGATCTCGGGATTTAGCAAATAAACATTCATCTTATCGACACCATTAAATATGTAACATATTTGAGTCATACCCTTCCACCCTTTTGCTTCTCCTGACTAATAGTCCTAATTAGATTTTAAGTGTTTTTCTTACCAGAGTCTCAGCCTATTTGCTGCTTTTTAAGTTTCACTTTCTCTGAGTTGAATTATAACAATTTTTTATAAATTCGGCTTCAATGCCCTTCACACTTTTGGTTGAGGAGAGTTTTGACTTAAAGTAGGTGCAGCCCAAAAATAGAGATGTTACGCAAACAGTAAATAAGCCTAATGATAGGACATCCGTTTGGGAGAATGTTTGGTGGAAGTTCTCCATGTTTCTCTCAAGTGGTCATCAAGCATCAACTTCAACATCTTCAGTGGTTCAATACCTCAGAGGTATCATTAGAAAATTCTCCCTTATATAGATGTACAATATACCTTCCTATAATTTCCATTTACTAGTATAATTTTGACATCTTTAGCCACACAAAAGTATTCTAATCCCTTAAAAATCAGAGAAGTCACTGATCCCTATTTTTTTTTTTTAAAAAAAAAGCTTGTTTCTGTGTGTAAACATATGACTGCAAAAGTGCCATCATTTAAGGCACATGTGTCAAACACAAGGCCCTCGGGCCAAATCCGTCCCGCCAGGCCTTGCAATGTGGCCTGCACCGCGCTGTCATCACTGCACTCCGCTGCGTTTCCATCACAATGACAGTTTATGACTATTCAGTAAACCATTCGGCCCGCGATTTAGGCTGGATTTTAGATTTTGGCCCCTTCTCTGATTGAGTTCGACACCCCTAATTTAAGGAAACCAGGTGTTCAGGGGATCAAAGGCACTAAGGGAGTCACAGTGATATGCAAAGAATAGCATTAGCTGGTTTGGCTCCGTGGATAAGAGCATCAGCCTGCGGACTGAAGGGTCCCAGGTTCGATTCCAGTTAAAGGCATATGCCCAGGTTGCAGGCTTGATCCCCAGTAGGGGGTGTGCAGGAAGCAGCTGGTCAATGTTACTCTCTCATCGATGTTTCTAGCTCTCTCCCTTCCTCTCTGTAAAAAAAAAAATCACTAAAATATATATATTTTTTAAAAAAAGAATACCAGTTACTGTGATTTTATACATTTTTTAATTAAGCAACATGCAAAGGATTAGGACTTGAAGAAGAAACAAATGTCAAGTCTCTCAGAAGTACAAAGCAAAACCACTCCAGTCAGAGTCAACTGTGCCTTTTATTCTTATTATTTGTCTCTGTGAGAGTCTTAGAGTTCACAAAAATTATGCTTGTTCTGTCTCCCCGACACGTAGTAAAAGAGCACTCCCTTGTACTCTCAAAGTGAGACATGGCCATGTAACTTGCTTTTACCAATAAAACGGGAGGGTAAGTGATACCATTTCCTAGGAAAATTTTGAAGAGGCAGAGGCACAGTCCCCTCCCCGCTGCTGTGGTGACCATGGAAGCATGTGTTGATATAAAACATCTGTCACTTTGAGCCCCTAAGTGACAATAAGCAGAGATTAGAGTTGTGCAACCATCACTACAATCCAGTTTTAGAACATTTCCACAACCCAAAAGATAGTCAGTACTATGCCCATTTTTAGTCAACCCTGTTCCCACTCCTGACCCCAGGCAATCTGCTGTTTCAATAGATTTTCGTTTTCTGGCCATTTCATATAAATGGACTCATAATATATAGTCTTTTGGTCTGGCTTCTTTCATCCAAACAGTGTTTTTGCGGTTCATCCATGTTGTGCCCTGTGTCAGTTCTTTCCTTTATATTGCTGGATAGTACTCTGTTGTATGAATGTACCATATTTTGTTTAACTGTTTACCAATTGATACATATTTGCATTGTTCCCAATTGTGGGGCTATTATAATGCTGCTATGAACATTTGTGTGCAAGTCTTTGTGTAGATATTTGTTTTTATTTTGCTTGGGTAGATTCCTGAAGTGGAATTGTTTCATTGCATGGTAAGTTTATGATTAACTTTTTAGGATACTGCTGAACACTTTTCCAAAATTCAAGCCATGTGTAAGTGTTCTTTCTTATTCCTCCACATACTGACCAGTACATACTTGTTATTGTCTATATTTTTTATTTTACTCACTTTAATGAGAGGGAGGTGGTTTTTTCATTGTGATTTCAATATTTATTTCCCTAATGGCTAATGATGTTGAGCATATTTTCATGTACTTATTAGCTCGTCTTAAATCTTCTTTGGTAAAGCATCCTATCCAATAAGGAGAGAATATGCTAACTGACCCGCATGCCATCACAAAGATGGTGGCACCCACAGCCAATAAGGAGGGGATATGCTAATTGACTGCCCCACCCTCAAAGATGGCGGCACCCACAGCCACAAGATGGCGATGCCCAGCCCCCTCAGCCCCCAGGTGCCCAGGGCCAGCCTAAGGCACAGGCAAGCCTTGGATGGCAGCTACTCAGCTGCCCAGGCCCAGCCCAAGGTGCAGGAAAGACTCAGATGGTGGCTGATAATCAGACAAGTCAGAAAAATCAAAGAAAGACATTCTGAGTCCTTACAGAGTTTATTTTCACTGGTCTGAAAAGGGAAATAGATCTGAAATATATTTTTAAAAAGGTTTCCATAATAAATCAAGAGAATTTGTTAAAATTCTTTTCCTTTTTATCCAAAGCTTAAACATCCATATATAGCATGAACCTGCCTTTAAACCCAGTAATTTGTTGTAAATATATATATATATATATATATATATATATATATATATATATATATATATAGTAATTTGGACTCTGTATAATATCCCTTAAAATATAGTGCGCCCATTATCAATTTATTGCCTATCACTTTCAAGTCTACACTTCATTACTTGCTTTGTGAAAATAGATATGGATCCTTTAAATTTTTTCCTTCACCAACTGGCAGAATGTTAAGCTTTGTCAGTGGAGAGACCATCTATAATAATAAAAGGATAATATGCTAATTAGACCAGACATTCTTCTGGACAAAGCTGAGGCCAGAAGGAAGCCAACCAGGGTCCTGGATGCCAGAGGGAAGCTGGTGCTGGCAGCTGGGGGAAGGAAGGCCTACTCTTGCACAAATTTTGTACATCGGGCCTCTAGTATGTTCTATATGTGAAGAATTGTGGTATATACTATTCAGCACAGATACAGGCATTAATAAGCAATATATCTACAAAGTGGGCTGGAGGGCTTAGAGTCTGAAGACAGTGACATAGGCAAGTAACTAAGATACAATACAAATGTATAGAGGTATAACAGGGTGTGAGCTATTCTAGGAATGAGGAAAACAGTAGAACCTAGAGTGAAAGATAAAAACAAGCACAGAAAAATGACTGTGTCTTACTGTGGGAGGACTCCTATGACAAGTGGTATCGGTCAAGACTATTTTTATTACTAGGGTCATGATTGCAACCTAAACAAGCCTTGGAAGGGCAGAAACCCTTACTTTGGTGTTGCCTGGAAACAAGGATTAGAAATATATTATATCAGGATCCTCCATATTTCTCTATCTCTTTCTCTCTCTCTGTCTAGTTTCTGCTCTCTCTGAATGGTGTTTTCAGTCCCTCCTTCTGCATCTGGCCTTCTCTACTTAGTGGGAAGCATTTTAGCAAAGTTACATTTTACTTTAGGAACCAGTAGTTAAGAAAAGGGAATTTTTGCCCTAACCATTTGATTCCAGTCAAGGACATGTACCTTGGTTGCAGGCACATCCCCAGTAGAGGGTGTGCAGGAGGCAGCTAATCAATGTTTCTCTCTCACATTGATACTTCTAACTCTCTATTCCTTCCTCTCTGTAAAAACAATAAATAAATAAAAATAATTTTAAAAAATCAATAAATGTATTTTTTTTAAAAGGGGGAATTTTTCTCCTCTACTTCCTTCCCTCATCTCCACTCCCCACCTTTAGCATTCTAGCCTAAATAAATAAATAAATAAATAAATCACAAGGAAATATTCTGAAAGGCTATGCTTGGATCACATACCCAACCTGGACCAGATGTTACAAGCAAGAAAAGGAGATATTATGTTCAACAAAAATTGGATCATTGTGCCCTGGCTAGGTGGCTTGGTTGGTTGAAGTGTCATCTAGTACATCAAAAGGTTGTGGGTTTCCATTGGGGGAGAAACCAAGATGGCAGCAAAGGTAAACACCTAAACTGCTGCCTTGCACAACAATTTTGAAAATACAACTAGAGGACAGAATGTTTATCACCCAGAACCATGGGAAAGTTGGCTGAGTGGAAGTTCTACAACTAGAAGGAAAGAGAAAAGAGCATTCAGTGTACAAGTGCTGAAAAGCTGAGGTACGGAGACATGTGAATTGGGCGGGTGGTGGGTGTTATGCCCAGACATCGTGATCCCCAAGGACCACCAGGGAGCCAAGTCCGATGCAATAAACAAAAGAGCCTTCACCATGCTAGCATGTGCTCCTCCCACCCATGCCGGCAGCATGGCGGAAGAGAGCGAATATCTCCCAGTCCAGGGGTTTTGAGGGCTAGGGATAACTCCGCCCTAGGGCGGAGTTGGGAGCTCATCTTTGCCCCGCCCTGCCCTCTCAGTGGGCAACTGGATGTGCTGCCTTTTTTCAACCTGAAGGGAGAAAAGCTCCCAATTACTCTAAAATCCAGTTTCTGGGGAGACTCAGGGGACCCAAACTCCTACGGGGAGAAGCTGGACTGGCGGCCATCGGGTCGGAAAGTGAGGGTGACTTTCTTGCAGAGGTGCGCCCAGCAATCATTGTTTACTGCACAGGATGCAGGAACTTGGAAACACAGAAAGGCAGAGAAGACTGACTTGCAGCCATTGCTGTTTGCCACGCCCTAGCCTAGTGACACCCTGAGACCCCGCCCCACATAATCTATGAACATACCCAAATTCTGTGCAGTGGCTTTTGCATATAAATGGCCTGCCCTGTGGCAGCTTAACCAAATAAACTACAGCTCCAGTCAGACAGCTCCAAAACCTCCAAACCCCAAGCAAAGAGGAGAAAACTGTAGTTCTTGCTGTAGCTCCTACTTGGTAGCCTCAGACAGTAGCTGACCTGCACCCCATTGGAGATCCAGAAGCTATGTATCTAGTGGTTGGTGTGAGATGACACCAGATTTCAACTACTCTCATAAAGGACACTTTCAAGAGGCAGACTCAGTGAGCATCAAAGCCCATTGGAACAAGTCTGGTTCCATAAGCATGTCTCCAGCACAGAAATTCTTTTTTTTTTTTTTAATATATTTTATTGATATTTTACAGAGAGGAAGGGAGAGAGATAGAGAGCTAGAAACTTCGATGAGAGAGAAACATCGACCAGCTACCTCTTGCACACCCCCTACTGGGGATGTGCCTGCAACCAAGGTACATGCCCTTGACCGGAATCGAACCCGGGACCTTTCAGTCCGCAGACCGACGCTCTACCACTGAGCCAAACCGGTTTCAGCCAGAAATTCTTCTGTTATAGACACAGGGGGTGCTCACAGTCAATTGGCCTGGAGGTCAATTCCTCCCAGCGACACCAACAACAATCAGGACTTAACCACAAAAAGGCTGTGCACACAGTCCACAAAGGGGTGCACCAGGAGTGTCTACCTCAGGTAACTGGGGAGGCTGACCCAGTGAACCATCTAGGACAACTAGCACACAGAGCCACCTTACCAACTCAGGGAAGCAGCAAAAATTTAATAAACGAAAGAAATGGAGAACAAACAACTAGATATAGTGTTCAAAACCATAGTTATAGGTTTTTCAAGAATTTCCTAGAAAAGGCCAATAAATTTAATGAGACCCCTGAGGATATGAAAAAGGACCAACTAGAAATTAAACATACACTGACTGAAATAAAAAATATTATACAGAGATCCAACAGCAGATTAGAGGAACTCAAGAATCAAGTCGAAGATGTGAAATACAAAGAAGCAAAGAACAATCAACTGGAAAAGCAAAAAGAAAAAAGAATTCAAAAAGTTTAAGATAATGTAAGAAGCCTCTGGGACAACTTCAAGCATAACAGCATCAGAATTATGGGGGTGCCATAAGAAGAGAGAGAGCAAGATACTGAAAACCTATTTGAGGAAATAATGACTGAAAACAACCCCCACCTGGTGAAAGATATAGATTTACAAGTCCAAGAAGTGCACAGAAGCCCAAACAAAAGGAATCCAAAGAGGACCACACCAAGACACATCATAATTAAAATGCCAAGGGCAAAAGACAAAGAGAAAATCTTACAAACAGCAAGAGAAAAACGGTTAGTTACCTACAAGGGAGCACCCATACGATTATCAGCTGATTTTTCAACAGAAACGATGCAGGCCAGACAGGAGCGGCAAGAAATATTCAAAGTGATGAATAGCAAGAACCTACAACCAAGATTACACTACCCAGCAAAGTTATCATTCAGAATTGAAGGTCAGATAAAGAGCTTCCTGGACATGAAAAAGCTAAAGGAGTTCATCAACACCAAACCAGTATTATATGAAATGCTGAAAGGTATTCTATAAGAAGAGGAAGAAGAAGAAAAAAATAAAGATGAAAATTATGAACAACAAATACATATCTATCAACAAGTGAATCTAAAAATCATGTGAATTAAAAATCTGAGGAACAGAATAAACTGGTGCATATAATAGAATCAGGGACATAGAATGGGAGTGGATTGAGAATTCTCAGGGGGAAAGGGGTGTGGGGGTATGGGGAGAGACTGAACAAAAGTTGTACACCTATGAATGAGGACAGTGGGGAGGGAGGTAAGGGCAGAAGGTGAAGTGGGAACCAGGTGGAGGGGAGCAATAGGGGAAAAAAGGTGAAACAATTGTAATAATCTGAACAATAATGATTTATTAAATTAAAAAATATGGAGAAAAAGGAATCCTTATGCACTTTTGATGAGATTGCAAAGATGGTACATCCCTTTATGAAAGACTGTAAAGAGATTTCTCAAAAAATTAAAAATAGAACAACCATATAACCCAGAAATCCCACCTGAGTATTTATTTGAAAAAATAAAAAAACACACAATAATTTGAAAAGATGTATGTATTCCTATATTCACTGCAGCATTATTTATAATAGCCAAGATGTGGAAACAACCTAAGTGTCCATCTATGGTTAAAAAAGTGACACATACATACAGTGGAATATTACTCAGCCATAAAAAAGAATAAAATATTGTTACATAAGAAGGATTATAGGATATTATACTAAGACCAATACCATATGATTTCACTTATATGTGGAATAAAAACACACACAAAACAAAACATATATGAACTCATAGGTAACAGAGAACAAACTTGTGGTTACCAAATGGAACTGGGGAGATGGGTGAAAAAGATGGGAATACTAAAAAGTACAAACTGCCAGTTACAGAGTAAGTCAAGGGAATGTAATGTACAGTATAGGGAAGATAGTCACTAATAGAATAACTTTGTATGGTATTACATAGTTACTAGACTTATGGTGGCGATCACTTCATAAAGTACATCAATGTCATCACTATATTGTACATCTGAAACTAATATATTGTATGTCAACTATAATTTAAAAAATTTAAAGATAAAATAAAACTTGATATCTGGGGGGGGGGGGAAAGGTTGTGGGTTTGATCCCCAGTGGAGGTAAGTACAGGAGACAACTGATCAATGTTTTGACATTTCTCTCTCTCTCTCTCTCTCTCTCTCTCTCTCTCTCTCTCTCTCTCTCTCTCTCTCCCCCCCCTCTTTCACTCCTTCCCTCCTCCCTTCTTCCCTCTCTCTTTTTTTCCCTCCCCTCTCTCCCCTCTCTCTAAAAATCAATGTAAATATCCTCAGGTGATCAATGCTCAATCCTGCAGTCAAAGAAATGGAGTCGTTTATTAACTGCCACCACAAGAAACACATAATTGGAGTTGGAGGGAAAGTGTTTCCCCAAAGAAAGTGTTGCTATTCTGGACCGCCAAAATACTGTGAATCCACTAACATGCGGTGAGGTTTGAACTTTCATCATCATCATCACAATAACATTCATTGAATGTTTGCCCTCTTCTAAGCTGTGTGAAAAGTATTTTACAAATATTATTTTCTTTAGCCTTCCCAACACCTTATGTAGAAGAAATTATTCCTAAGTTACAGAATGACTGAGGTAAAGAGAAGATAAGCAAATTGTACAGTCACACAACAGTAAGTGTATATTTTAATTCAATTTTGTTTGACTCTGGAGATTACTCTTTAACCACGATCCCATGTAGAGATAGAA